TGTGTCCACACTGGCAGAGTTCCAACGCCGCTCAGAGAGCGCTGAAGGGAAACCGCGGTTGTGTGTTCACGCTGTCAGCTGCCTGCACAATAGCGTGTTCACACTTGCAGCAGTATTCGGAGCGGTGCACTCTGGGCAGCTATCGCACAGAGCACCTCTTCCTCTTCTGCCGCTAAGCATTGTGGGAAGGTGGAGGGGGTCGCAGGGCATCCTGGGTCCTGTCCCAATGCCCCGCGATACATTGCTTCGCATCCCAGCAATCCCTGGGCTTCCATCTGCGTTTGGTGCCATCTTTCAACGGTCTGTGTACTGCGTGCCCGGCTCTTCGGTCTGCAGGAATGGGTCCCGCACTGTTGACCAATACGTTGCTCATTCTCACCAACACATCACGAGTGGCAGTGGAGTTATTCCTTAAACTACAAAGGCAAGAGGAGTTCGACACTGATCTCACCACGCATACTAGCTACAACACGAGATTGCTTGCGGCTTTCATGGCGGTACTGAACACAGTGGAACGCCACTTTTGGGCTCGGGAAACAAGCACTGAGTGGTGGGATCACATCGTCATGCATGTCTGGGATGATGAGCAGTGGTTGCAGAACATTTGGTTAAGGAAAGCCACATTCATGGGACTGTGTGATGAGGTTGCCCCAGCCCTGTGGCACAAGGACACAAGAATGAGAGCTGCCCTGTCTTTGGAGAAGCAGGTGGCGATCGCACTGTGGAAGCTGGCTACTCCAGACTGCTACCGATCAGCAGCCCCGGAGCAGCGGTTTGCCTCCCGCGCATTGTAGTAGGCGTTCCGCAGCTCCTTCACTTTGACCCCGCACTGCAGTGTGTCCCGGTCATGGCCCCTTTCTGTCATGCTTCGTGAAATGTGTCCGTAAGTCTCCTAATTCCTATGGCTGGAGCGCAGCTGGGACGGGACAGCCTCCTCTCCCCAAGTGCCGATGAGGTCCAGCAGCTCGGCACTGCTCCAAACGGGGGATCGCCTGGTGCGTGGAGCAGGCCTGGCCGCCTGGAAAGATGCTCTGAGGCCACTGCACGCGTCACCGAGCAGACAGGACGGGGACTTTCAAAATTCCCAAGGAATGTCCGGGGTGGGGCTCACCTGAGGGCAGGGCAGCGGAGTTCAAACCAATGACCACAGAGGCGAGAACAGGCATTGTGGGGCACCTCCCGGAGGCCAATCGCAGCGCTGTCATCGACCAGGGTGTCTACACTGGCCCCGCAGCGCCGTACCCCCAGCGCAGGAAGCTCGACGCTGCTCGTCGGGGCGGGTTTTTACAGCGCGACAATTGCGCAGTTTCTGCACACTGAGTGGCGTGGCCGTGTGCTCCCCTCGGGAGTTACAGCACAGAACGCTGCTTTACTGCCCAGAAACTTCCCAGTGTAGACAAGGCGTTAAAGGCCAGAAGGGGTCATTATGACCATCAAGTCCGACCTGCATTACCGAGGCCAGAAGCCTATACCTGATCACCACTGCAGCAAGCCCATGAGGCTTTAGCTCAGAAATTCTTTTTCAGGGCTTGTCTACACTGGCACTTTACAGAGTAGCAACTTTCTCGCTCGTGGAGGTGGGCTTTAGCATTGCCCGTGTAGACTAGCCCTAATAAAGACTGCCAGTGCTGGAGTAACCACCACGGCCTCAGGTAACTGTTTCCAAAGGTTTACTACCCTCCCTCTTAAACTTGCCCCTTAGTTCGAGTCTGAATTTGTCCAGCTTCGACCCACAGGATCTCGTTCTGCCTTTTGCTACTCGATTAACGAGCCAGCCATCAGCAATCTCTTCCCCAGCTAAGGATTTGGAGATGGTGATCAGATCACCTCGTAGTACGCTCTTAGATTGAGTTTTGTCTCCCACTCTAAGGAATATTTTCCAGCCCCCAGTCTTGCTTGTAGCTCTTATCTGAACCCCTTCCAGTTTTTTCAACATCTTTTGAGTGTTGACGCTATCCAATAATGGTCTCACTAATGCCAAATATAGAGGTGAGACCACGGGCGGTGGGTGGAGCCCCCACTTTGGGGAGCCTAGCACCCCCAGCCCCACCTCTTTCACCTGAGGGACCCCCCCCCCCCCGTGGCTGGAGCTCCCACCCCTCCCCCAGAGAATCCCTGAGCCTCCTCACCACCACCACAGCCGGAGGAGCCCAGGGCTGGCCAGAGACCCCCAGCCGCCCTGTGCCTCCCCCCTGAGACTCCCAGCCGCCCCATGGAGCTCGTCTCTTCCAAAGAGCCTGAGCTTTTGATATGCACCATGTAGGGTCTGGAGCAGCTGAGGAGGTCATAGAATCATAGAATATCAGGGTTGGAAGGGACCTCAGGAGGTCATCTAGTCCAACCCCCTGCTCAAAGCAGGATCAATCCCCAATTTTTGCCCCAATCCCTAAATGGCCCCCTCAAGGATTGAACTCTCAACCCTGGGTTTAGCAGGCCAGTGCTCAAACCACTGAGCTATCCCTCCCCCAAGTAGTCGTATGTGCTACTTAGCTTCCTGGGTTCTCAGTAATTGCCCTGGGCTCCATGGCGCACAATAAAAAGCAGAAACTTCGCTGCAAACCCCACAACCGGCTGCAGGGGAGGCTTAGCGTGCCCAGGCCATTATACCCACTGCCTCTGGGTGAGACCATCTCCCTACTACTGCTAGATATTCTGCGTATACACTCAATGATTGCATTAGCCCCCTTAGCTCCTGCTGGGAGCTCATGTTCTGGTGGTAATCTCCCATCACCTCTAAGTCTTTTTTGGAGTGGCTGCTTTCCGGGATACAGTCCCGCATCTTATCAAGTGTGGCCTGCATTCTTTGTTCCTAGATGAATAACTTTTTTTTTTTTTTGGCTGTGACCCGGCCTCATTATTTCACTCCACCGCTTTGTGTCATCTGCAAACTTTACCAGTCGGGACGTTGTTCCAATGATTAATTTAGCCTCCGTGATGTAAAATAATTGCACCTTATTTCCAGTCTGACTTTGTCTCCTTTTCCTTGCTGGTGATACTACACTGAAACTCTCGGGATGCAGCCAGTGGGACACATTAGGCGGTTAATCCCAGCGTGTTGAAGAGTCTGTGAGCTTTTATTTTTGTCTGGCTAAAATCCTACTAAATCCTGATGCTCTCAGGGCTGCTCCATGCCTTAGCTCTGCCTCCACTATGGAAATTAAAATGCAGTTTTAATCCAGTTACAGTGCTGAAAACTTCCGTGTGCACCAGGCCAGCACATCGACGGTAGGGCTCTGTGCTGGAGGAATTAGGGTAAGGAGGATGGTCTAGCAGGTTCCCTGGCCTGGAACGCAAAAGAGCTGGGCTCAACTAGCAGCTCAGCCACAGACTTTCTGTGTGACCTTGGGTGAGGCACTTAGGCAACCCTGCGTCTGAGTGCCTCACCTGTACACCGCGGGTTCTCCAGCACTCTGCGAGAGAACACGCCTGCAAGGCTCCAGCCCATTCGTGCTTGAGGGGAATCTAGGTCTCTGCTGATGGGAGCCACATAAGTGCACAGATGCAGTTACAATGTTGTGACTCTTCAGTAGAGGCAGGACTAATTGAAAACTCAAGTGTTTAAAAGAGGGAGAGGGGCCCATGCCACCCTCGAAGTGTTTCATCTCCTCTTGTGCGCAGAAGCGACCAGCGGTCTTTCTTTCGCCACGTGTCATCAAACCGCCTCCTCTCAGCTATGCCTCTCGCTTCATCCTTTCAGAGCACAAGAAGTTTTGCTGCACTCCGACTGCAAAGCAAAAGGCGCTCGCCAGCTGGCAGAGAAAACGGAGCACCGTGGCACCGCCAAGAGGGACCGTCATCATCATCATGTTCCTATTACACCTCTGGCGTTTAGGGCAGCGACGAAGGTCCTCCGCTCCTGTCTGGTTCTGGCGAGTCTTTCCATGGTTCCCCAGCTCTGCCCCAGGTTTTTCAGCTTGGCTTCCGCAGCTCTTCGTCATGTTGTTTTTGGGCGGCCTCGTTTTCGCTTGTCTTCGGGTGTCCATCTTATTGCTTCTCGGGTGATGGAACTGTTTCCATTCGAAGCACATGGCCGATCCATCTCCACCGCCTCCTGGCAATGATGGTGCTCAGATCCTCTGGACTGCACTGTGTCAATAGATCTTGGTTTGAGATTGTTCTGGGCCAAAAGATACGGAGGATTTTTCTGAGGCAGGTTGCACTGGATGAAGACAGTTTGGACATGTCGAACTTTCTCATTCCCCAGGATTCTGCACTGTAACATAGTATTGAAAGTACGTACCAACTCAGAGTATTTTGATGATTTCCAGACTTTATTTAAACTCCTGAAGGTGTTCCTGGATTTTTGTTCCGGATGTCCTGGCTTGTTCCACCGTCCTGGCTGATGGTGCTGCCCAAGTATGTGAATGTTTCTAAATTAGTGAGAATATAATCCTCGATCCGTACTGGGGATGGTGAGGCGCTATTAAAGGTCATGATCTCTGTCTTATTGCGATTGATTTTCAGTCCAATTTGCTGGCTGAATGCGTTGAGTCAAGTTGTTTTTTCTCGTATATGGTGTTGGGTATGTGATAGGAGAGCGACATCATCTGCAAAGTCCACATCTTCCAGGGATGAGAAGAGCATCCATTTAATGCCTCTTGGCATGTCTTCTGTTGGACGCCGCATTACCCAGTCGATGGCCATGCTGAAGAAGATTGCAGACATGACACACCCCTGACGTACTCCTGTTATGGACTTCAAAACTGAGCTCACTGTGATCAACACTGCATGCAAAGTTGAAATAGAAGCTTTTGATGACACTGATCATAGGGAAAGGAATGTCATATGCCCACAGACTGCGCCAGAGGCTGGTCCTGTGAAGGCTGTCAAAAGCCTTCTCAACGTCTATGACATGTATGTGGAGTTGCGATTGCCATTCTAAGCACAGTTCTATTATGTTTTGAAGAGTGAAGATCTGGTCTGTGCATCCACACCCTTTCCGAAAACCAGCTTGCTCTTTTCTGAGAACGTTATCAGCTGCTTCTGATATATGCTGGACGATGAGCTTACACAACATTGGGGAGCGGGCGGGCGGCTCGGCCGGTTGCAGCGGTGTCATGCTCGGGCCTCTGGGCTGCTCCGGGGAAGGCCTGGTCCGGATTCTCTGCACCAGAGACGTGAGGGGAGCGGCCGGGCTCTGGCACGCAGGGGGCGGGGTGCACATTGAGCCCCACTACCAGCAGTTCCCAAGGCTGACCCGCTGGCAGGTGATCCACGGCAAGCTCCTCAGCGGCTTCATGTGGTTCTGGATCCTGTGGCACTTCTTGCACAACCCAGATGTGGTGCTGGGTCACTTTCCTTATCCAGATGCTTCGAAATGGATAGATGATGAATTGGGGATCCCTCCTGATGATGAAGAATAGATTTACAGCTCCAGCTACCAAAGGGTCCTGTGGTGGGATCTCTGAAGAAGTTGAGGCTTTGGCTCTTGTATAACTGTGTTTCAGCAAATCCACTTTGTAAATAAAAACCCAAGTTACAAAAAACAAAAACTTTGCTTGGCACAGATAAAAGTGTGATACCAGGCCAGTTATTACAATCACTGTGAGTTCCTTTCTTTGGTATCTTCACTATAATCCCATTGGTCCACGCATCTGGCACTTTTTCCTTTTCCCAGACTGATGTAAATAGAGGGGCCAGGATAGATGCTGCTAACTCAAGATTTACCTTGAACGATTCTGCATTCAAGGTATCCTTGCCAGGAGCTTTCCCTTTTTAAAGGATTTGATGGTGTGAAGCATCTCTTCCTTAGTTGGGTGTCTGTGCTGATATCAAGATCATCTTCTGCCTCCTGGATCATAGAATGTTTGCTTCCTCTTTAGGTGGCTCTGTCCAGTGCATTTTTTGTTCTTTTTCGGTTGTTAGTAGGTGTCCTTGTTTGTTCCTGATGAGAGTGTTTGTCGGCGTCTGCCGTTTACCACGGATAAGCCGCATCATTTTGTAGTCGGTTCCTTGTTCACCACGAGCAGCTGCAGCCTCTGCTTGTGTTGTCAGATTATCAATATAACACCGTTTGTCCACTCTCACAAGGTGTTTGACCTCCCGGTGTGCCTTGCTACACTGCTCGTGGTATTTGTCCTTTAGCTTCAGGGATTTTGTGTCTAAAACAAAGGAAGAATTTATTCTCCCCCTTTTGGCTTTAAGGCAAGGGTTAGCCTTTAGGCAAAGCCATGGCAACTCAGCAAGGCCGGGGGGAAACTGAGTGAAGATGGCAGTGCCTGTCTTGCCACTGGTCTGCATCTGTTGCTCTCGGGCTCTGCTGAAGGGGAGCAAAGAGCTCAGGGCACAGAGTGGTCTCACACCTTCCCACTCTCAGTATTTAACTGCCATCTTCTCTTAGCGTTGCCTGGAGAATTCAGTGGGGTGCTGTTTACACGGGAGCCAAGTGGAAGGAAGAAGCGGGCCAGAACAGAGCCAATGGCCATCCATTCCTTCTGCTCACTTCAGCAGCTGTTTCCCAAAAGCAATAAACCCAGGACCTACATGTCCAGGCCCTAACTGTGTTGCCTCAAACCCCATTGCGGCTACTCTAGCAGGGCTCTAGACAAGGTAGATTTAAAAAAAAACTTTTTTTTTAAACTCAATGATTTAAAATATGTATTTAAAAGTCAGATTTTTTCAATTTAAATTAAAGCTAGGTTTTTTGTTTTGTTTTTTAATAGTGCAGTTCTTTAGGGTAGAGGAGGCTCCAGCAGGGCACGATTTTACAGCAGCCAAGCTTGGTTCCCTTTGACTTGCTTAGCTAGGGCTGGAGAAGGGACTTCACTTCAGGGCCTGCTCCATGCTGCTGGGTTGGGCAGGAGACTTGTTTACTGTCTGCTTTACCGTAGAGTCTAGGAAACCAGCCCTGGACCAGGACCCCCTGAGCAGACACTGAACAAAGAGAGTTCTTCGTGGCTTGACGGGGCTTGGGTTGAACGGGTCACTGAAGAGCAACTCTCCACTCCAAGGCAGGTGAGTTCAGTGGACAGGAACCATTGACGTAGCTGGGCCTGTAATTGGTGGGGTGTCCTCATGAGCCCTGCACTGGGTCCTTCACACACCCTTGTTGTTGACTGTCCCAGTGAGGTCTAGGGCTGCGCCCCACAGACATCGGGGCTTGTTGCTCCCCACCTTGGAACTTGGGATGCTCGTGGCTCTCCAGTGTCTGTTGGGGAATTGCCCCAGTGCAGAGATCAGATCGACCCCTCCCTCCCACAGAGACTCAAGCACCATGTCTTCAGCCCCCTACTGCCACCAAAGGCAAACAGCCTTTCAGAGCTGCTGTCTGGCTGGCAGTATTTCTGCATGCCCATCACCGGGGTCTCTAGGCGCTGTACAGGAGTTATATAAAACACTGGGATTTGCTCCAGCCTGCTCTCTAGCTAATTGTTGGTTTCGGCTCTGGTGTATGGCTTATTGTACATGCAATGTATGGCTTGTATTTGGATGAGTTTTGAAGGCTCGTTTTGCAAGCATCTCCTTGTTTCCGTTTTCTCATCCGGCTGTATTCACCTGTTGTCTCATCTTGCACTCAGGCCTGGCCCCGGAGTGCTTACAGCACTGGTTCTCAAACTTTTGTACTGGTGACCCCTTTCACATAGCAAGCCTCTGAGTGCAACCCCCCTAATAAGTTAAAAACACTTTTTAATATATTTAACACCATTATAAATGCTGGAGGCAAAGTGGGGTTTGGGGTGGAGGCTGAGAGCTCACAACCCCCCAGGAAATAACCTTGCAACCCCCTGAGGGGTCCCGACCCCCAGTTTGAGAACTCCTGGCTTACGGTAAAGCAGGCCTGCATGGTGCAAAACCCCTAGCCCTTCTTGCAGATGGAGTTGCTATTTTATGTTAAAACTAGATGCAGGCTGGTGTAGAGAAGCACACGCTGCTTTCCTTGAGGCCTTCCCTCTGAGGGGGGAGGGATAGCTCAGTGGTTTGAGCACTGGCCTGCTAAACCCAGGATTGTGAGTTCAATCCTTGAGGGGGCCATTTAGGGATCTGGGGCAAAAATTGGGCATTTGGTCCTGCTTTGAGCAGCGGATTGAACTAGATGACCTCCTGAGGTCCCTGATATTCTATGATCACCAGCAGTCATTCAGACTCAGTGTGGCTGATCGGCCCTACATTATTACTGCTTGAGAGTTCAGATTTCTTGGCATTGTACAAAACTGAGACACAGACATGGCCCTTCCTGAGACATATGGTAAAGAGACAGAAAACAATTCACATGTCCACAGTGCATGGTGTGGCTAGGAAGGGGCTGTGACAAAGTCACTTACCCAACCGTGTCTGACTGTAGCGGTGCCTCGGTTTCCCTTCTCGCTGTCAGGGAGAGTTTAGCCCTTTGGTAAATAAGACTCCTCCCCTTCAACTGTAAACAGGATTTCAGTTAAAATCCCAACATGGTCTAATGACCAGTGCACAATGGTGGGACTCCGGATTGAATGCAGTTCTCCCTGAATCTGCCACTGCCCTGTTGCATGCCCCTGGTGAAGTCACCTCCTCTCTCTGGAAGTCTGTTTCCCCTCCTGCCCAGTGTCTCTCTTGTCCAGTTATAGGTTGGGGCAGGGCCTGTCTCTCCGCATGTGCCTATGCAGCACCTGGCACAGCAGGGGCCCGATCTTAGGTGTGACCTCTAGCTGCTCCCATAATGCAGAGTAAAGCCTTTACCCGGCTCTGGCCTTTTGGCCACAACCCTCCGTGGGAGCTTTACCCATTCCAGAGGGACCAATTACCCCTTTGTCCCTGGGTGGTAAAAGTCCACCCCGTGATACAGGGATATCAGCACAAGGCGGCCCTACTGAGGCAGAGTCCTTTGCCACAGCCTCTACCCCCAGCCCCCTAAACAGTGTCACAGCTGGCTGCGCCAGCCTCAACTTTTCCACTTCTCTCCTGGCTACTGCCCTTGCCTGCCTGCCTCTCTCTCTGGTCTCCTCCAGAGTCCCTCCCAGGCCCCCTTGCCCGACTTCCTGTGAGCTGAGAGCACCACCACAGATCCTGCCCAAATCACTTAGTGCCCCACCAGCTCCTCAGTGGGCCGAGATGGCTGAGATGTGCCCCCCTGCTTCCCAGCTTGCTCTCAGCTTATTGTTTCCATGCGCCTTCTGGGAACTACAAGTCCCAGAATGCATTGGTCCTGGGCCAAAAACAATGACGGGGTAAAAAGAACAGGAGGACTTGTGGCACCTTAGAGACTAACCCATTTATTTGAGCATAAGCTTTCGTGAGCTACAGCCCACTTCATCGGTAGCTCGTGAAAGCTTATGCTCAAATAAATGGGTTAGTCTCTAAGGTGCCACAAGTCCTCCTTTTCTTTTTGCAGATACAGATTAACACGGCTGCTACTCTGAAATGATGGGGTGGTAAGCCGGGGGCTTGTCCTTAAAGGGCCTACGTACTGTCGCAGTGACCTAAAGACTATAGTTCTCTGTTAGGTCTTGTCTACACTGGCGAAATTTACCAAACAATTCCATCGGTCCCCTTGCTCCAGTGGTAGAACTGGTGGGAGCTTTAGTGTAGACAAGGCTCCTGCAGCTGGACTCATTTATAACTCTGTTTAGATCAGACTGGCTTTCAGCAGCTTTTGCTCAACGAGCATTTAAAATGGACTGGACAAGGGGAGCTGGGGCTTTGTTGTAGTTCTCACTGGTCCAGTCAGTGTGAATTTCAATCTGCCCCTCTGTGAACACGGCTTGTGTCCAAGAGTTTCAAAAGCAACTCGTGATTCTGGGTGCCTGGGTCAAGTGCCCAACTCAAGACACTTTAAGGGGGCCTGAATTCCCGAGAGGGCCAAGCACACACCCTCTGAAACCAGGCCCCTGCAAGGGGTCACAAGTTCTGAATCAGAATCTGTCCCTGGCAGTCAGCCATTGCTTAGGGCCACCATCCCTATCTTGTGCTACTCTTTGCATTCTAAGTCTCACACATTCCTACGCTGCTGTACATTTCCCCTGTCTGAGTTGGGCTTGATGGAGGCATTCCTTTGGTCGTCCCCTTTTGTGTACTCCTCCAGCTGCCCTTCATCTCAAGATGGACACCAAAAATCTTGGCCTAGTGCCCAAGTGCAAGGGCTTTAAGATGCAGTTGGATGGGTGATCGCATTTTACTAAAGCGGGTTACCAGTGCTAGGCTTTGTGGGCATCATTGCAAACTAATTTCTCCTGTGTCTATCCTAGCAAAACTCCCATGGATGTCAGTGGGTCTTTGGCTTGCTTAAGGACCTCAGAACTTGGCCTGGTATTAAAAGGTGGATTTATAGGAGCAGGTTTACAGCCAAATGCAGAATTCCACCTGCTGCAGCACGTCCGCAGGAGCCCAACGCCTGGCGTGTGCGTTGCCTGTGGGAAAATGCTCCTCTAAGACACAATAAATGTCTTGGCTAAACTGGAACTTGCAGCTTGTAGCAGCATCTTCTTCAAGAGGGTCCAGTCACTCAGCTCCAGTGAGCTGCACCGAGCTGATCCAGCCACACAATGACCCTTGTGACAATGAAGGAAACACCTTCTATGACCCAAGAGAATCATTGCATTGAAATGGAGAGAGAAACCCCACTGACCCGCTCCGTCCCCCCAGGGAAAACATCGCTCTCCACAATGGGTGACCCTTCTCCAAAGAGCCGGTTCAAAGTCAACGGCTCCCCTTCCGCCTGCTCCTGTATATGAAAGGGGAGCTGGAATGTGCTTGAGCTGCTTCCAGGCAGGATGGGTTGATGTGCTTCCTGGGGGGATGGAGTGAAAGAGCAGGTTGGGGGAAGGAGGAGGAGGGCCAGTCCCCAGAACAATAAATCAAAGGCAAGAGGGCAAGCTGAAGGATCTTCTAAAAATGTCCCGTCCCCAGCTGGAGCCTGGGAGGAGCAGAGGAGAATCACTTGCAGTTGGAATCCTGCAGTGTCACTTCCTCAGAGATCAGACCCCTGAGCTTCCTGAGCTCAGGGACAGGGATTTAGCTCAGCCTGTGGCTTCAGTCATGCTGCGTAGACATTGCAGCACCTTCCTGTGGGGCTGGAGTTAGGGGGTGCCGGGGTTTTCTTTCAAGCCCATTCCTGGTTCAGACATTTTCCAGGAGCCCAAATAGTGCAGCCCAAGGCCAGCAACTGCATTCATGGGGGCTCAGTGTACAGGTCTTTAAATATAAATGGCTTGGTGCAGCATAGGCCAGGGAGACCAGAAAGAAAAGAATCCCCCCCTTCCCAACCTCTGTGCACCTCACTAGATCCCATTAGATCTCCATAGTGTGTTCATTTCTCCCTCTCTGCGTCATTTAGGCAAGAGTCCTGTGGAAAAATCGCATGTGCTCATGTAATAAGTTACTATCATAATGCACAAAGGGGCTGCACTCAAGTTATCCAGGCATTTAATTCTGGCATTTCTTAATGCTCCAGTGCCTGACTTTGCAACTTTAATGTTCTCGTAATGTCTGATTCTTTTGTATGCAGTGCACTCTTTATATTGCTGTGGTCCTAACCCGACTGGGGCTTATGGCACTCGGCACTACACAGATTATATACCAGAAGGCAGCCCATGCCCCAAGGGGCGCACGGTCTGAACACTGGGCGAAATCCCCTAGCCCCACTGAAGTCGACTGGAATTTTGCAGGTGATGTCAGGAGGGCCAGGATCCCAGTCTGTGTTTGATGTTTTTGCAATTCGGGGGCAGATTTAGGGCGTTTTCCTCCTGAGGTGCTGAGCATCTTGCAGAGCCCATTGACCTCAGCTGGAGTAAGAGTACTCAGCTCTTCTTTATAGCGACTACAGGCAGCTTGCAGCCCACCAGCAATAATCCACAGCAATTGTATAAATCAGTGACAGCCTCTCCTCTGTTCAGAGCCTGCTGGTGGCTCTGTCCCAAACACAAAGGAAAGGAGCTTTTCAGACTTATCTCTTTGGCATATCTCTGAGTGAGAGACTCCAAACAACAGTTATCAACCAGCCAAGTTAATCAATAGATGAAGTCACTGGTAGCAGATTGGGTCCAGGCAAGCGCCATGCTGCTGAAGTTGTCCGGCTCCCATGTTCCCCGGGCTTCATCCTGCCCAGATGCTGGCATCTCCCGTCCCTGCTGCAGGGACTGTCTGGGGGTGATGGGAGGTATGCACCAAGCTATGCTCATTACATAATGCATTGAAAGGATAATCCTGGCCGTTGCAATCGATATGTCGAAAAATTACTTTGGGAGCAGAGGGGTGGGGTTTGGGGAAGCGTAATAAACCCAGGCCCAACCACACCATTGTCAAGTGGCAATCACAAACAGAGAACATAGTGACTGTGTCCCATTGTGCAGCAGATGAGTGTGATAGCAATGCTCATGATCAGCTCAGTTTAGAGGTCAGAGACCAGTAAAAGAAAACAAAAGAGCCAGGCCCTTCACCATGTTAAGATTAGGATCCTGTGCCTGTAAATACATCCCAAGAAAACAACTGGGAGACACCAGAGCTCTCTCCAAGGGCCTCTGATATTTTGCAGCAGTAGCTTGGAAATTCATCAAGCAGGGGACAGGAAAGCAATGGAGCTGCTAGGAAGTGGTGAGGCCATTAAACATGTGTAGGGTGCACCCATCATTATCTAATCATTTAATCCTGGATTTTCTGGGAGAGCAGGCCGGGGTAGATAGGGCATCTGCAAAGCCTGCCTCAGTACTCCAACACCCTGTGGTGGATCTCAGCTCACACTCTGCAGCCAGGGGAGAGGAAGCCCATCAGACAGATTGTTGATTCCATTTTCCACAAGGGAACAAAGGGGGCTGATCTGCTATGGCAGTTTATCATCTGTCTAGTCCTGTAACCTGTCTGAGAGTGGCCAGCACCAGCTGCTTCAGAAGAAGGTCCAAAGACCCCATGGTGGTCAGTAATGGAATAACGGGCCCTTAGGGTTCTTCCTAACCCCAGTCAGTTAGTGATTGGTTGCTGTGTGCCCTGAAGAAGGAGGGTTTCAATTTCCTCATATATATTTTTAGTCCTAGTGAATGTGACTGTGATTGTTCTCATCCAAAAAATCCTACTAGATTCTAAGCCTGGGTGAAATCTTGTGGCAGTGAGTTCCATGGGTGAACTATGTGCTACACAATAAAATGTTTGACTATTAGTTGAAAATGTGCTGCCTTTCATTTTCATCAAATGTGCCTGTGTCCCTGTGCTCCGAGAAAGGGTGACTCACAGCTCCCAGTCGACCCTTGCTATATACCAACCGTTGCAAAATCAGTGCATGGCAGGGCAAGGATTTTGCAACCTGGCCCCAAACTGCTGGGAGCAACTAACCATCCAAATGGGTTTGCAATTGCAATCTTGTAATTTCCCCAACTGGAGTCCAACCCACGTGCAAACGGTTTATTGCTCTGAATATCGAGGAGCGAACAATCCCTGGAGGGCTCCGGCCTTTTTAAACAGGATCCGAGCAGAATAATTCCCACCACCAATAAATTATGCAGCTGGTCGTTTTCATTTCCCTTCTCGATTGATGCCCTCCCAAACCCATGGGGAAGTTAAAGAGTTGGCGGAGGGGGGGGGGGGGAATACACGGAGTCTGAAGCTATTTCTAATCACGGTGGTTGCAAGATGCCCTTCCCCACCCCCGACACACACACACAAGAATCAAGTTCATTTACAACCTATTGGTGTCAATTGTCTTAAAGGGGCCAATAGCTGAGCAGGGGCAATTAACAGAGACGCCCAAGCTGGGCCCTTAGCGGGGCGGGGGGAGGTAGCCCCTTGGCCGGCCTAGGCGCTCAGTCGGGTCTCTGCAGCATGGAGGGGCTTCGCCGTGGCCCGCGCGGCCCCGCCGGTGCCCAGCTGCTGCCGTGAGCCTGCCAGCATGCGGAGACTCCTGGCCCTCGCCTCGTCTGATCGCGCCTGGGCCATGGCGCCGTAGGGGCTCCGAGACCCTTCCAGCGGGGGCCCCGGCTCCGGGCAGCCTGGGGGCGACCATGTTCAGCCAGGAGGGGCTGCCCCCCACCTCCTTCGGCCTGGGGGCCGGGATCCTGCAGGATGCGGGCGGCCAGTTCGGCAAAAGCGGCTACAGCAGCACCAGCCACCAGCCGCCTTTCTTCCCCTTCCCGGCGCTGAAAGCGGAGTACGAGCCCCCCGAGCTCCCGGCGGGGGAGGCCGGCCAGGCTAAGGCCTGGGGCCCGTTCCCTGGCCCAGAGCCCTGCCAGCAGCCGGGCATGGCTGGGGGGCACCAGGGCCCCCAGCTCCTGGAAAGCGGGCAGGCCCCGAAAGAAGAGCCCGGCCAGGAGAAGGGGCGCAAAGAAGGCTCCCCAGAAGGGAAATGCGCCCTCCTGCCCGCGGGCCCCTACTACGCCCACCCCTGGAACAGCCCTTTCTGGCCTGCCTTGGCTGGGCACAGCGCGGCGGCGTCCCGCGGCCCCCTCCCCAGCCAGACGTTCCCAGGGGTCGGGCTTTGCCCTGGGGCCCATCACGCCATCTACCCCGGCGACCCGCACCAGCCCCCCAGCGGCCTCTCCAGCCTGGGCAGCAGCGGCAGCTCCAGTGGGGCGGCTAGCGAGGGAGGCCAGTCCAGTGAGAGTGGGGACGAGGTAAGGATCGCAGCCCTGCGGCCCCTCCCCGGACCCCGCTCCCCAGTCCGGGGCTGGCCCGGGATCGCCCCCCCATCTAACCCCTTTCCGCTCTGCGTGTTCTCAAGGGATCTCCCCCCAGTTCTCCGGCTTATACCAAGGGGGAGGGGAGCGGAGAGGAGCAGCGCCCCCATTTTTCTTCCTCTCTGTCTGACGCTTTTGGGGTGACCTTGTCTCCCATTCCCTGACAGCCCCGCTGCTCTGTAGCCGCACATCTCTCCTGCCACAGGCTCCTTGGGGAGCAGCTTCCTAGCGGGGGTGGCTGGGGCGGGCGGGTAGGGTTCTCCAAAGCGATCGATCTACACGGGGCCAACCGGGCTGCTCTGAACAGACGGGTCTCTCTGATGGCCTGTGTTCCCTGGAGGTGGCGTCCGCAAACGCAGACGAAAAGCTCTGTCTGCTTTTTAAAAGTTAAAAATCCCTGTCTGATGTGTGAATCAGAGCAACCCAAAATCTGACTCTGTGTTGGGTGTGTGTGTAGACACATAAATCAGCTTTTAAAAAGCACCAGGGTTCTTTATGATGATCGATAGTCTTTTATCCAGACTCTCAGCTGCAGTTTGATCTCTCCCCCCCTCCAGTGAAGTGACCATTGCTCTGTAATGCCAGGGTAGAGATTTAAACTTCTCTTTGTCTCACTCCAAACCCTCATCTTTTGGATGTCCCCATTTGTAAAATGGGGAGAATGAAACTCCGCTCCTGTGGGAAGCGTTGTGAGATCTGATGGAAAATGCTCTGTAAGAGCTGGGAGTTAGTAGAGAGGGACTGGTGGTGTGAGCCAGCCGGGGTACAGAATTGTTTGACTGGGGGATTTAAAGACCAGCTGAGAGGCATAGGCCCAGGGACAGCAGGGAAAAAGGCAGGATGACAGGTCCCATGGGATGAAAGCGCTTTGCATTGCAAGGGGGTTAAGTTACAACACTGTTGCTTTGTAGTGTAAATGGGGGTTTAGCTACATTCCCAAATCCTGCTAGAGCTTCCCTACCTCTGCCTAGGCCAGTGGGTTCTGAAGCTCCATCGATTGCTGCACATTACTCGTCTCTCTCTTTTTGCTTTTCTCTGTATTTTCCTTTCCATTTTTTATTCTTCTTTTCCCTCCTCTGCTTCTCCAGGAGCTTTCAGTTGTCAGCACCCTCCCCCCAGGGGACCATTAGGATAATCTGGTCTGACCTCCTGCATAACTCATCCCAGGATGTCTGCGGGAAGAGGTTACAGCAGTGGGCACCAAGGAGAGCGGGCCTACCAGATCCACCCAGGCACATGCCTAGCAGGGCTTGAGTCTAACCCCTTTAACCTTGCTAGCCTCATGTTATGACTTCCCTCCCTCTTTCTTCCACTCTCCACCAGGGACCCAACCTTCCCTCTCCCCCTCAGCTCAGCCTGCGGAGGGCTTTGATGACCTTGGGTCTTCTCTGGGGCACCAGCACGGTGACCACAGCAAGTGGTTAAAAGTGGCCTATGGTGCTTAATAGTTGGGTCTTTGCACTCTGGGCTAGCTGGATGTTCTTCAGAGCTGCTGCTGTCCATGTGAAGTGCAGCACCATTTTGGTGATGGGGCTTACACAGTGGTTGGGCCCTCCTCTGTCAGGATGGGGAAGGGGAATCTAGTAGTAGGGAGGAGTCCAGAAGGATGCCAAGGCTGGGAAGCACCTGAGTTCGCTAGAGGTCTGGTGTTTGCCTGTTTCCCCCCTTTGTCACCTCCCATCCTGCCCAGGTTCAGGAAGGAGGTTGAGTTCCTGCTTATGCAAAAGTGGAGCCCTGATTGTGTCCCATTGGCGGTGGGGAGTGAGTTTTGCTCTCCAGCCTGGTTTACTGCATTGAGCACGTTTCCAGCAGGGGCACCCCCAGTTCGGAGAGCTTTCTCTCAGTGTGGCTAAGCTGTGTTGCCCAGCTGCTCCAGTGCTGGGCTCTTTGGGATCCAGAGATCAGCACCACACAGTTTCTTCCCATGCTTTCAGGGGGGCCCCCCATTCTTACTGCCATGTTTGCCCCTCATGTCTATCAGCCACTGGCACGGTTCTGAGCAGCGGCTTTACCGTGGGCTCCCTCTGCTGGCTGTTGCAGAACAAAAATATTTGTCTCTGTATGCTCCTCAGTGCGATAGCTCAGCCAGCCGTCTCTGAGGACGGCATATGCTTCTGTTATGTCTGCGCACTCAGCTCTTCTGTGCATGCAGCCCTTCGGATGCCGGAGCTGCCTGCTTTAAATATTTTCATCGGCATGACTATTATTATTTATTTTAAATGGAATTTTAAAAATCCAGATATTTAGAGTGTGTAGGCCAGCTCCCTCCAGATTATAATAATTTAAAAATTGGTCAGATTCCTGACTCGCAGGTAGATTAAGCAAAAAGAAAAGGAGGACTTGTGGCACCTTAGAGACTAACCAATTTATTTGAGCATAAGCTTTCGTGAGCTACAGCTCACTTCATCGGATGCAACGCTTGTCTCGGTAAATTAATCTAAATCAGTTTAAGCCAGAACTAAGCGTGTGAATAGACTTAAGCGGGTCCATGCTGCTGTTTGCACCACTTTAACTAAATCAATCAAAAACCTGCTTTTAGTGGAAACTGGTGCAAACTGTTGTGTGTGGAGAAGCCCTGCCATGCCTTGGCAGATCTCCCAGAACGGCCAGGGAAAATCAGAATTGACATTCCTGATTCCTTGAAACAGTTCCAGGTGGGGAGAAGGGCAGGTCTGGAAACCTCTGTGTGCAAAACAGTGCATGCTCATTTTGTGTGTGTGTGTGTGTGTGTAGATGGAGCTTTCTGTACAAACGTAGAGTGCTCTGAATCTCCTCTTCTCCTGCCCTGGACCACGTGTTGAGACTTACACCTGGGGCAACACGTGGGTAAGAAGCCACCATTCAGTTTGCCCAGCGTTTTGTACCCCTCTGCGCAGGTGTCCATGATGAGGCAAGGTACAAGAATCTGGGCCAATGCTGCTTTCATCTCCATCTTAAATCGCAGCTTGGCAACTGCTGCCACCCTGCATGTTGTGCCAGTATCATCAAAGCGAGCAGGAGAGCTGATTGAAAGGTGACTCTGCACCTTCTCATAGCAAAACTTTGCTGCTCTGGGTGCTGGGTTGGTTGCAGCCCATCTCTCTTCCAGTGTGAACTCCCAGTGGCTTAGATGAGTTGTGCCCTTGTGTTTTGCTTTGATTTTTAAAGGGGGATTTGATCCTTTTTTGCTTTGTTGGGCCCAGATCTTCAAAGATATTCAGGCTCCTAAATACCCCTGGAATTAGGATCTGAGCCTTCTCCTTAGCACTGAGAGGAAGTTGACAGCTGACAGGCTGAATCCAGATCCACTGGCCCTCAGCTGGTGAGAGGTCTCAAACATAACACACTGGCACCTGCTGGTGGTGGAGGACATTGCTTGGAGCCCCTCTGCAGGAGCAGGGCTTAGACTTGGAGCACAGATCAGTGTGTTCTCCCTGCTGGCTTCCTTGGGGAAGAGAAAACCCAGCAGCCAGGTACTTCCCAACCTTCACAAAAGGGAAGATACGTGGCCGGTGTCCATGGGCATCGCTCGGTGGAAGCTTGCCTACAGCAGAGGGGGATCTGGCCTCCAGCTTCCCCTCTACCTGGGAGCAGGGTGGGATAGGAAGTAGTACAAGAGGGTGTGGGGGCCCTTGAGAAGGATGGTGCAGTGGCTAGGTACTGGCTTGTGACTCCTTGGGCTGGAGGTTCAGTTCCTGCCTCTGTCACAGAATCTAGACTAACATTGATGAGCTTATCAAAAGATCTACTCTAACTCAAACAGAAGTTATGGGAAATTCTCTGTCCTGCGTCATTCAGGAGCTCAGGGTAGATGATGGGAGAGGTCCCTATAAAATGGTAAATGCCACTCCTGCGCCGGGAGCTGAACTGGATTTTGCAAAACTGCAATAGGCAAACCCCAAAATATTGAAAATGAAGGCTCTGGTCCAGCAGTCACTAGGCGGTACGTAACTTGACTCAGATGAAAAGTCCCCTTGACTTTGATGTGACTACTCCTGCGCGCCAAGTTAAGCATGTGCATAATTGTTAGCAGGACCATGGGCTAAAATTGTATTTCTATTACAAACCATTCTTTTAGTGGCACAGAATCTTTGTCCCTTCAGAACAAAACTGCTTCAGTGTAGAGAGAAGAGGTGGCCCAGCAATGAGGGCACTGGCCTAGAATTTGAGAGACCAAGGCTGTGTCTACACTAGAGATCTTACCGCCGCTGTGAGGTCTCCTGTGGAGCTGCTCTGTGCTAATGGGAGAGAGCGCTCCTGTCGGCATAATTAAACCACACCCAGTGAGCTCTGTTGGAGACGCCAAGGTAGTGCTGTCCAGACACGTTGCTCAGGGGTGGTGGTTTTCTCCCCCCTGCCCCCGACTGATTAAAGTTTTACTGACAAAAGTGCTAGTGTAGACACTAGATTCAACTTCCTGCTCCACCTAAGGCTCTCCGTGTGACCGTGGGCAAGTTACTCAGGGCTTGTCTACACTTGCGGTGCGCTGTATCGCTTAGTGAAGATGCTACCTACACCCAATGGGAGAGCTGCTCCCATAGGTGTAGGAATTCCACCTCCCCGGGAGGCAGTAGCTGTGTGTCCACAGGACGCTCTTCGACAGTGCTGTCTACCCCGGGAGTTCAGTTGGTGGAACTGCGTTAAATCCTCACCCTGAGCGACGTCGTTCCACTCATGTAGGTTGGTAATGTAGACTGTGCCTCAGGCTCTTCCTCAGTTCCCCAGGTACAGAATAGCCCTTCCCCGGCGGTTTGGGGAGGATTGAGACATTAAATATTATGAGGTGCTCAGACACTTCAGAGATGGTGGCCAGATAGTGTCAGCGATGACAAGTGATTTCATCTTCCCAGTGCATTAACAACATTGCTGTGAACTTACTTTATACAGACAGGCCAAAATGTTTAGGTCCATAAAATCCTAAAGGTGGGATTTTCAACAGCTTGTAAGTGACTTAGGAGCACAAGTCCTATTGACTTCACGCTGCAAACCTGAGGGAGGAGCATAGCCTGGTCAAAGCATTGTGACTTTCTTGATTTGTGGAAGTGCAGTGTGGCGGCCGGTAGTGTTGGCTGCTATTTGCAGTTGTGGTGGTGGTGGTGGGGGAGTTGTGGTATCAGGCCCAGGACTTCTTTTTTTACAGCCTGGCTGAGAGTTTCAAGGCTGAAACTTCAGTAGAAAAGAAAAACTTCACCGTAAAATCTGCAACTCGACTAACAATTCGGAAACTCTTTAAACAAGAACAAACCAGCCACTTTAGCCATTTAAGACTATAAAACGGGAAGGGAGTAAAAGGCAACAGCTATATTTAAATAAAAAAACATTTTGTATTATGATTTTTACCCACCCTGTGTTGGGCAAGTCACTCCACTGACCCTTTGAAAACAGAGATGGTCCTGTCCTGCCTTCCAGCAGGGCAGTGCGTGGGGTTGGGCAGTGCTCAGGTACTGTGGTGACTAGGGCCATCTCTGGGCTTGGGTGGATTTCTCATCCCCACCGCAAACTGACCCTAGGAAACGTATCCTGGCTGCGGGGGGCTGTGAGGGTCGGGGTATTGCAGGGCGTCAGCTTGCCAGCTTCAGTCTCTGCCTGGTGAATCTCCATGGCCATCCCGCGCACTGATTACCTGGCTTGTCTGCTGCCCAGAGTGGAGTGGGAGGCTTTCACGGGTAAGCGAGGGAGTGTCTAAAGGCAGCGATGTCTGCAGAAACTACAGCTTTCATTTTTAAAGTTACTGACCTTAATGGCCCAGTTAACACCCCTCAGCGCTGACCTGTAGCACCATGCACCCCCCCCCCCCCACTTCCGCTATGCTGTTCCAACTCTGAGCCTCACCAGCCAGACATCACCCCAGTGGGTGGGAGGTTGTGGCTGAGCTGTTTCCCACTGCAGCGGGCAGCCAGGCCGAGGGAGCCTGAGGGACAGTCGAGGCAGACGTTCTGCCATGAAGCAGAAAGCCAGAGAGCAGCTTGAGGGATCAGCCTGTTTCTCGGATCCCAGCAGAGCTCTTGGTTCTGTGTCAGGTGAAAGTGATTCCTTCTGGGATTGTTTGCCATCCTCGTGCTGCAGGATGCTGGTTTGTCCATGCAAACAAACAACTGAGGGCTTCACCGAGCCCGTTCGCACTCCTCTCACCTGCCATGAAAGCCGCGGTGGAGCCTGATTGCAGCGGTAGACCTGGGATCCATCTCTCTAGGGCTTGGATCTGCATCCATCCCTGAAATGCCTGAGTGAATCCACCTCTCTCCTTGCCAGCCCCCAGCGGGCTCCTTTATCCCCTCACAGAAACGTTTTTGCTGCTTTTGCCAGGACACCACTCCCACCTCGGAGGAGCTGGAGCAGTTTGCCAAAGACCTCAAGCACAAGCGCATCACCCTGGGGTTCACACAGGCTGATGTGGGGATGGCTCTGGGGACTCTGTATGGTGAGTTTCACTTTTCTCCCCCACCCCTCCCAAGTGCATCTGGTGCCTCTGGGGGTGTCTCTTGATGCAGAAGGTGAGAGATGGGGAGGGACAGCCCCTGGATCCTCACTGGTGCTGTGTAGCTTCTTCCCCAGTTGGATGTTCAAAGCGGCTGGAAGGGTTTTTGGATGCTTGTTGCAGTGAGCCCAGTGTGAACACCGTGGTGATTCTGGGGGAGCCCCAACATGATGCTGTAACCTGGGTGTCCCTGCTATCCCTGCTGCTGTCTTGAGGGAGGGGCTCACAACAGGAGATGGGGATCCTGGGGGAAAGCAAAATTATGTGGGGCAGAGTGGATTCCTAGATCCAGCTGTCTGCTGGGGGGGGGGGGGAGGGACTCAAGCTCCCACAGTGCCTCACTTATGGGGGGAAGGGACAGAAGATAGCAGGTGAAGGGAGCAGACCGCCATGGTCCCTGCTGCAGAGGTGGGTAGGTGACTGTGCAATATTGGGGCGGGGGGTCTCCCATGCATGGATGCAGCCCCCAGAGTCATGGATGCTCCATGCATGGGTCAAGTAGTGGGCAGGTTTCTTTCCTCTCTGGCTGGTGTGCTGGGGGTATAGGATAAGGAGTCTGGCAGCCCCAGGCCTGCAGTGAACGGTGCTTCTCTCTCCCTCCCAGGGAAGATGTTCAGCCAGACGACGATCTGCCGCTTCGAAGCCCTCCAGCTGAGCTTCAAGAACATGTGCAAGCTGAAGCCACTGCTGCAGCGCTGGCTCAACGAGGTAGAGAACAGCGACAGCCTGCAAGAGGTAAGTGGGAGGGGTGGGCCAGGGCTTGGCTCAGCCCAGTGGCCGGGACTAGCTGCTTCTGAGCAAGGTGTACGTGACCTCTTAATGGGCAGCTATGGAAGTAGCCTAGTCACTGGGCAAGTTCCTTCCTGACCCCCGTCAGTCAGAGCTTGATCCATGTCAGGAGGGCTTATATCTCTTCTGAATGTGTTTTATCCTTTCTGCTGTGACTGTGGAGAATGAGAATGTCCAAGGCCTCTAGAGAATCCTGCTGAACTCTTGGCTTTGCTGATACCTTGGGGCAGTGAGTTCCACAGGTTAGTCACGTGCTTTGGGGGAGAAACAGAATTTCCTCAGACTGGTTTTAAATGTGCTGCCTTTCAGTTGCACTGACTCACCCCTTGCTGGTGTGTTATGAGGGAGGGTAGATAGGAATGCCTGATCTACCTTTTCCCATTCATTACTCTGCTTATCCCTGTCATGTTTCCTCTTACTCGCCTTCTTTCTAAACCAAAGTCCAAGGATGAGATTCTCCCCACTGACCAGCCGCTGTCCTGCAGGTAAAAGGTCAGGGCTGTGTAAAGCGTCTCTAAAAGCACTGGTTTTAGCTGGGAGATGATAGCTGTATGGCTGCCTTCCCGGGACGCCGTTGCAAGCCCTGGTGTAGGAGTGGGTACCTGGGGCAAGGCTGTATGGGATTCTAGGCACCCACTGCAGCCCCCAGGATTGCAGAGTTTTGTTAGCAGCTCAGACACTTTGCTCTTGCATTCAAACTTCTTGGGTCATGTCGCCCAGGCCTCCTGATATTTTGCTCTTGATCAGTTTGTTCCAGCAGCTCCTGTTTAACACCTTGGTCCTTGACCTGAGACAGCAGCTCAGGGTCGGGATCTCCTTGACCTACTCTGAGGCAAAGAAATTATAATTTCTCGCAACCTCCTTATCTTTGCTAATTGTTTCCTTTACTTCCTGGTTAATCCAGCAGACCCACGGATTCTCTTGCAGACATCCTGCTCTGATGTGCCTGGAGAATGACTCCTCAAATTCCACCTTATCTCTTCTTCGTCCCACCCAGTGTAGAAGGGCCTGGTGTTAGGAAGGGTATTGGTAGGGCTGCAGATTTGTCACTGCATTTTTTTTATCCAATCGCTGAGCAGTCCTGATAGATTTAGTTAAAGTCACAGCTTTTGCAGGTAGTGGTTGTAAAGTCACTTGAAGTGGGGGGGTGTGACATGGTGGGGGAGGTTCGGTCCTGCCCCTGGGGGGTGGGAGGCCTGGTTGGTGGGGGGGGTGGAGCGAGCCTACCCAGCACTGACCTCACAGTGGTGGCCCCTGTCATAGAATCATAGAATATTAGGGTTGGAAGGGACCTCAGGAAGTCATCTAGTCCAACCCCCTGCTCAAAAGCAGGACCAATCCCCAATTAAATCATCCCAGCCAGGGCTTTGTCAAGCCTGACCTTAAAAACTTCTAAGGAAGGAGAAAAGGAGTACTTGTGGCACCTTAGAGACTAACCAATTTATTTGAGCATGAGCTTTCGTGAGCTACAGCTCACTTCATCAGAAGTTTACCGTGGAAACTGCAGCAGACTTTATATACACACAGAGAATAATAAACAATACCTCCTCCCACCCCACTGTCCTGCTGGTAATAGCTTATCTAAAGTGATCAACAGGTTGTGCTGGAAATGGCCCACCTGTTGATCACTTTAGATAAGCTATTACCAGCAGGACAGTGGGGTGGGAGGAGGTATTGTTTATTATTCTCTGTGTGTATATAAAGTCTGCTGCAGTTTCCACGGTAAACTTCTGATGAAGTGAGCTGTAGCTCACGAAAGCTCATGCTCAAATAAATTGGTTAGTCTCTAAGGTGCCACAAGTACTCCTTTTCTTTTTGCAAATACAGACTAACACGGCTGTTCCTCTGAAACCTGTCATTAAGGAAGGAGATTCCACCACCTCCCTAGGCAACGCATTCCAGTGTTTCACCACTCTCCTAGTGAAAAAGTTTTTCCTAATATCCAACCTAAACCTCCCCCACTGCAGCTTGAGACCATTACTCCTTGTCCTGTCCTCTTCCACCACTGAGAATAGTCTAGAACCATCCTCTCTGGAATTACCTCTCAGGTAGTTGAAAGCAGCTATCAAATCCCCCCTCATTCTTCTCTTCTGCAGACTAAACAATCCCAGCTCCCTCAGCCTCTCCTCATAAGTCATGTGTTCCAGACCCCTAATCATTTTTGTTGCCCTTCGCTGGACTCTCTCCAATTTATCCACACCCTTCTTGTAGTGTGGGGCCCAAAACTGGACACAGTACTCCAGATGAGGCCTCACCAATGTCGAATAGAGGGGGACGATCATGTCCCTCGATCTGCTCGCTATGCCCCTACTTATACAAGTATGCCCCCTGTCCCGTGGGGCTGGCCTGGCTCCTTGCTCTGGCCTGTGGGCATGTCCTTCTCCCTGAGACACCCAGCCTTGGCCCCTTCTTGGCTATGGCACCGCCAGATCACCGGCCCTGAGCTGTGGTGGTACAAGTGGATGGGCCCTGGCCTGGGTGGTCCCCCCAGCTCCTCAGCCTATGAAATCCCAGATGCAAAGAAAGCCATGGAAACATCACAGTATCAGTGACATTTTTTACCTCTGTGATAAACCTGCAGCCCTAGGCATTGGCTATCAATAGACCAGTGGGCTAGCCTGCTTCCCAGTGAGCTGTGACGGCACCAGTGTAAGGAGGCCTTGAGCTGACAAGGGAAGGTTTAGCAGGGAAGGTTCCTTTTGGGAAGAGAGCAGGGTAAGTGAGGACTTGCGGTGTCTAGCGGCAGCTAATAACCCTTGCAGCTGGAACCCCTCCATCCCTGTCCCAACCACAACCTGCCAGTGCTCCCAGGCCCTGCTCATTGGCCTGGCTTCAGAGAGACACTTGCCATTTGCATTACCGGAGTAGCAGTGTCTGTTCCAATGGTAGGGCAGAGGTACTTGTAAATAAACAATTAGCCTATCGACCAGACTATTGTGTGGTGGAGAGTGTCCAACCTTTTGCAGAGATGGTCGAAGAGTGGGAAGAACTTACAATCATTGTTTGATGGGAAAATATACTAAGATTCCCAACAAATATAATTTGCAACAGATTCTTCAACTGGGTCTGATCCTGGAGCAGCCAGACATCACAACAGCCTCCAACAAGGCAATCATGATCGTTTTCTGCTGTCGTGGGTGGATCTGGAGAGAGGCTCCCGTCTTCTTAAATGTTATAGCCGTAGTCGGTGGAGTGAGACTGGTTGAGTTACCATGGCACGAGGGCCAGGGGCTGAATCTGAGAACATATTGCAGGTCTGGGGGGAAACAACTCTTTGTTGAGCAGTCACAATCTTCACTGACTGCAGAGGTTTCTGCAGGTGGGTACCTGGCAGACGGTCCTCTGCACCTGGAGTCTCTTCCGCACTCTGCAGTTGCCAGGGGCACAGCGAGGTTCGCAGGATGGGGCAGGCTATTGGAAGGTCATGGGTGAAATCCTGGCCCCATTGAAGTCTGCTCAAATTTTGACTTTAGTGGGGCCTGGATTTCACCCCATATCCTCCCTTCCAGTGAGGAGCAGCTGCAGGAAGGCTGAAAACCAGGGATTTTTCCTTTACCCCGTGTGTGGTGTGGTTCGCAACTTCTGCTCAGCCAGAAGAAGGGAGTGGGAGGTGATGTGCCCTTTAGAATACAGCATTTAAGTCCCACGTGCTGAAGTCCAGGGGAGGATTAACCTAGCACAACCTGCTAACTATGTTGCGTAGGTTCTCTGGAAGGGTAAGGAAGGGAATTTCACTAAAGGGAAATTATTGAAGCAATTTGTATCTTGATCCTGCTTCCATTGAGGTCAATGGCAAAACGCCTAAGGTGCAGGCTCGGGGCCCGTGAGCAGGTTCCTTTGAGTAATTATTCTAAAGCATCTCTGGGCGTTTAGGGAAGCCGGTTGCTTGGCACGCCCAGCACTACTCCATGTGATAACGAGGGTGGGCCAGCAGTTTGGGGGTCAAAGGGAGTTCAACCCCCAAACACTTTGGGATTGAATCTATTTAAAAAATTACAAAACCTTAATGTGAATAGAAATATTTTAATGAAATCCTTTTAATATTCTCCCAAATAATTGGTCACCCTTTGTATTAGTGTACATTTATACAGACTTTATAAAAAGGGCTAATAAATTATTTAAGCATGCTACAGACATGAATACTATATGTTGTAGATGGTTATATAAATGGACCTGGTTGAAAACCACATTTTTTTTCCCCCCTGTAAAGAAAGAATGAAAATTTTTCATTTGAAAATGTTCATGGGAAATTTCTGAAACTAAATTCAATTTTCAGAAACAAACATTTCAGTTTGAATTGAAAACCTGCCACTTTATCCCTTTCCACCCAAACACTGATTTGCAGCACGTTGGATTGGCATCTCTCAGCCCTGGCCCTACCCCTCTCCCAGCCAGGTATGTGCGCCCTGAGGAGCTGGGAACACTGTTGCTCCACAGGGACAACCTGTAACCAAGTGCCATGGCTTTTGTGGGTTTGTGTCTCTTGCTTTCCAGCTGTGCAATGCAGAACAAGTGCTGGCCCAGGCCCGGAAGAGGAAGCGCAGGACCAGCATCGAGAACAACGTCAAGGGCACGCTAGAGAACTTCTTCCGCAAGTGCGTGAAGCCAAGCCCCCAGCAGATCTCGCAGATCGCCGAGGATCTCAACCTGGACAAAGACGTAGGTTTAGTTGGAGCTCCCCAGCGGTGGGGAGAACAGCATGTTCAGAAGTCAGGTCCTTAGGAATGACTCTAACGCATTCCCTAGTGGGGTACTTCTAAAGGCCAATTTAGGGCTGGTGGAAATTTTTCCATCTAAACTATTTTTTAAGCAGAAAATTGGGTTTCTGACTAAACCAAATTATTCACAAAACAAGTCTGTTTTCCACAGGAGGAGGAGGATTTTTTTTTTTTTTAAGATAAAAAATCCAACAATTTCATTTTGGAAATGATACCATGGTGCCTCATGGGATCTGTAGTTCAGTTGCCTCATGTTCCTGTTCTCCTCTATGAGCTGGATTTCCCAGTCAGACTACATTTCCCATGATGCACCATGGCGAGGGAGGCCCATGAGGCACCACCTCCCACCACGAGAGTGGCGGCTGTGGCACACGGTGTGTGACGTAGCCCAGCCTAAAGACGGGAATGGGGGGCATCTGGCACCCAAACTGCAATTACCATTTGGTAGGCACTGTGACAGCTGACACTTTCTGGTATTTGAACTTCTGCCACAAAATTTAAATTGTCCATTGAAAATTTAGCCTTTGTTTTCACCGAAATTTTCCACAGTGTCCCCACCACCCCTACCCTTTACTGTCCAGCTCTACTCCAGACCTCTACTCTGGAGGTGAATGGCTAGTGCAGGGGCTGCGAGCACAAAGCAAACAGCAATAAGAGTATGTTAGCACCAGCTGCCAGCCCATGTCACTCCCCTCCCAGGGGAGGTCTGATTCATGGATGCAACAAGAGTGCATGTGGGCTCCTTTAGTAGCCAGATTGCTGCCAAATCAGGTGGGTCCCAATAGGTGGGATTAGAGCCCAGACTGCCTCAATTAGTGGGTGCACCTGGTGAAGGAATGTAGCCCTGTTGCAGGACAGCCTCGTACATGCTAGGGACTGTCAGGGTGCCCTGGGGCTCTGTAGAGACCCATCCCTCTGCCTGGCTGACCAAAGCGCTCCCAGCTGGGACTGCTGAGCTGGGAGGGTATGTAGGGCCTTGTGGGGGTGGAGGGAAGGCACAAAACATCCCACTGGAAAAGAGCTTGAAGCTCCCAAATTGTCTGGCTGCTTTGCTCCCCTCTAGAGGCGGAGCTGTGGGGGGCTCTGCCCCCGAGGGAGAGGTTTTAATGGGCTGGGCTGATCCATCTCCCCTTTTGTGCCTTCTCCCATCTCTGCCTAGGTGGTGCGAGTCTGGTTCTGCAACCGGCGTCAAAAGGGCAAGCGGCTGCTGCTGCCCTTCGGCGATGAGAACGAGGGAGCCATGTACGACATGAACCTGGCCCTGGCGCACCCAGCCTTGCCCGCCGCAGTGAGCTCCCAAGCCTATGCCCTGGGCCCCCCCCCTCCCATCTACATGCCAGCTTTCCACAAGGGTGAGATCTTCCCTCAAGCTTTGCAGCCAGCGGTCTCCATGGGGAACAGTGGCAACTGAACCTGGAGCCTGGGGGCTCCCTGGGAGCTGGACGGAGGTGTCTCCTTGGTGGTGCTGCTTGGCTGGCTCTCTGGAGAGAACAGCACCCCAGAGATCCTGCAGCTGCTCCCCAGACGCCTGACTCGGGGGGAGGGGGGAATGGGGATGGGGGATTCACTGTATTGTTTTTATTTGCTTTTTGTGTGAGGGGGAGGGGCAGCAACCTGGGCAGAGGGAGCGGATCACCCTGCGCTGTGGAGTGAGTCCCTGTCCTGCCCACCGCTCCGAATCACTCCTGCTGCAAGGAGCCTGCTTCCCCCCCACCTCGAGTTGAGCTACCTATCCTGCCCCTCCCCCTGGGGGCGGGGCCTCATCACTCATTTGCAAACAATGTTTTATCTATTGTTAGTTTGGAGAAGGAAAAAAAAAAGCCCTTTTTAGCCATTTCTAGTTTTTAAAATGATCCCGTCTCTGTGTCTCTTTGTTGCATGCAGCAGGGCTGTGCGAGCCCCTGAGGGCCGTCACTCCCATGGGCTCTTAGTCCCAGGCAGCCGTAAACCTGGGAGTTTCCAGGGAGCCTAGGAGGGTTAGGGTGCCCATTGTGTGCCTGGGGGAGTTGAGGCCCTTAAGTCTCCTTGGCAAATGCCAGCCTGTGGCTCAGCCTTGCTCCCTGGGCACGTAGACACATCTTTACCTGCCCCAGCTCTCTGCCTCAACCAGTTGGCATTTTCCAAGGAAAAAAATGTTTCACTGAACAATTCCAGACCCATGTGTACTTAATGTGCTTTCCTTGCCTGGCTGTAGAACAAAGGCTTCAGCTGCCTTGTCTTCCCCCACCCCTTCAGCAGCCCTAGACCTAACGAGCGTCTATAGGGCATAGGAGGCTATTCAGCTACCACTGGGCATCCCTGATGGACTCTGCTGGAGATCTGCCAAGGCCTGTAACAGCTCAGGGACCCCACTGTTTCCAAACTGCTGGTGAGAATAGCCTCCAATGCCTCCCACTATGGACCCGAAGGTCTCTACTCTGCACTGCAGGGCTTTGACTCTCTGCCCGGAAGCTTTCATTGTTGGCTCCCTGCACAATGCTCCCTGGGAGAAGCAGTGTAATGAGTGGAAAGGGATAAAGTGCTTCTCCCATCCCCAGCTCTGTAAGGCTGTGATTCCACCCACATGCCGGCAGAGTGACATACCATGCATGCCGGAGTCCCCTGGTAGAGTGTGGCTTCCATAGAAAACATTGTGCATTGTAACAAGAACAAACCATTTTCGAGAGCCTGTTATTTTCTACTCCGCACTGCACATTTTGTAGTGCTGGACAGATCCTCCTTTCCATAGAGCGTTCTTGGAGCCCAGCGTGAATGTGTGCCAGGGTCAAATGGGCAAGAGAAAGAGTGTGGGACGCTGCAAGCTCCACCCCCAACCAATCTCCACTCCCCTCAGATGCCAGAATGGAGCTCCACACTCGGAAGATGGCACCGATGTTCTGGCTATGACCATGTGTGTCCTCTGGGCTGGACAGGGTTCAGATATGCTGCTGGGCTCCTCCCCTGGGCTCTCCCTTGAGGTGCCCATGCCTTGTTGGGCAGCTTGGGCTTCGTTGCCTCTTGGCTGGCAATAAATATAATCAATTAAGAACATAAGAATGGCCATACTATGTCAGACCCATGGTCCATCTAGCCCAGTATCCTGGCTTCCGACAGTGGCCAATGCCAGGTGCTTCAAAGGGAATGAATAGAAACGGGCAATTATCAAGTGATCCGTCCCACCATCCAGTCCCAACATCTGGCGGTCAGAGGCTTAGGGACACTCAGAGCACAGGGTTGCATCTCTGACTTTCCTGGTTAATCGCCATTGATGGACCTATCCTCCATCAATTTATCTAATTGTTTTTTGAACCCCATTATAGTTTTGGCCTTCACAACATCCCCCGGCACTGAGTTCCGCAGGTTGACTGGGCGTTATGTGAAGAAATACTTCCTTTTGTTTGTTTTAAACATGGAGACCCCTGGTACTTGTGTTATGTGACTTCCTTATTCACTTTTTCCACATCATGATTTTAGTGGCCTCTATCCTATCCCCCCTTAGTCATCTCTTTTCCAAGCTGAATAGTCCCAGTCTTATTAATCTCTTTTCACGTGGAAGCTGCTCCATACGGTGCATAATCATTTTTGTTGCCCTTCTCTGTACCTTTTCCATTTCTAATATATCTTTTTTGAGATGGGGCAACCAGAACGCCACACAGTATTCAAGGTGTGGACGTACCAAGGATTTATATAGAGGCGATATGACATTTGCGGTCTTATTATCTAGCCCTTTCCTAATAATTCCCAACATTCTGTTAGCTTTTTGCCTGCCGCTGTATATTCAGCGGATGTTTTCAGAGAACTATCCACAATGACTCCGAGATCTTTCTTGAGTTGTAACTGGTAATTTAGACCTCATCATTTTGTATGTACAGGTGGGATTATGTTTTCTAATGTGCATTACTTTGCATATATTAACAGTGAATTTCATCTGCCATTTTGTTGCCTAGTCACCCAGTTTTATGAGATCCTTTTTGTAATTCTTTGCAGTCTGTTTGGACTTAACTATCCTGAGTAATTTTGTATCATCTGCAAACTATGACACCTCACTGTTTACTCCTTTTTCCAGACCATTTATGAATATGTTGAACAGCACTGGTACCATGCAGATCCTTGGGGGACCCCACTCTTTGCTTATTTCCACTGTGAAAACTGATTTATTCCTACTCTTTGTTTCCTGTCTTTTAACTAGTTACTGACCCATGGAAGGCCCTGTAATTGCCGGAATCACCTCTGGAACCTTTTTTAAAAATTGGCATCATATTAGGTCTCCTCCAGCCATCTGGTGTGCTGATTTGAGTGATAGGTTACATACCACAGTTAGTAGTTCTGCGATTTCATATTTTAGGTCCTTAGCTATCCTCCAGCCATCTGGTGTAGAGGCTGATTTGAGTGATAGGTTACATACCACAGTTAGCAGTTCTGCAATTTCATATTTGAGTTCCTTCAGAACTCTTGGATGACTCTCACTTGGTCCGCGTGAGTGGTGACTTATTACTGTTTTATTTATCAACTTGTGTTCCAAAACCACCTCTGTGGAGACCTCAATGTGGGACTTACCCACCCCATGCTTGTCAGCTGAGGGTGCAGCAGGACTCAGATCTCAACAGTCTCAACATTTCAAAGTAGCGTCCATCTCCCCATCCCCTCACCGGGCTGCTCTGTAGCATGTCGCCTCTGGAAAGAGGGGAGGGCTCCCGCCGCTCACCCCCAGGAAGAACATTGGGGATGGTGCCTGTTTGATCCCCTCACTCACTTTAACCTCTCCCTCTTCTCACCTTGTATTAAAATGCTGGATAGGTATGTCCCTGGGAGACCTGGGTTCTGTTCCCACCCCTGCTCCCTGTAGCATGAGATTATTTCTAGCCACTCTGTAGGACCTACACAAAATCACTGTTGTCTGTTGAATGATGTCTCAGTCCCTTGGGTCAGGGGGATGATCCTCTCAGCCCTTAGTGTGCATGATGAGTCACATGGACAGACCAGTCGCTTGCCCCTCACTGCCTGGCCTTGCTTGGGGGATACCAGAAGATTTCAGTCTCCAGGGCTGTCAGCCAGTAGCAAGCAACATGGGCCTTCAGTGCAGCACAGGACCATGCAATGAGCAAATGTCCTCTTGGCTTTAGCTTGGGGGATAAGTGGGCTGGAAACACTCGTGTTTCTCCAAGGCAAACTCCTGTGTGAAGCAGGAGAGTCTCCTGCCAGACGAGAGTAACCCACTCATGAAATGTTCTGTTAATGCACGTGCACTGTGGTAGCACTCAGCAGCCCTAGTCCTGGACGCAGACCCCACTGTGCTGGGACATGTACAGACACAGAACCCAAAAGTCCGTGCCCCAAAGAGCAATGATCAGCAAACATCAAGTTGCTATCCCAGCAATTGAACGGTGCAAAGCTAGGTTTCAAAGCAGTTTTCCCCTAGAAAATCAGCGGTGACATTTGTGCAGGACACGGTGTATTCAAGGATCTCTATTTCTAAATGACTATCATGTTAAACAACAAAGTTAGCCCCAAAAAAATGGATGTGAGAAAACTTCTAATAAAAACTGGAGGAGCCAGTTCGATGCACAATCAGGATGTGTTATGGAAACGTGGTCTGGTTTGTAGGAGACGGGTGGTGGGTTGGTGTAAACCCCACACTGGTAGACCGGTTAATTGGAGGCACCATTAGCGTATCTTGTTGCACTTAGAGGGCTATCAGCCTCAATTGCTGAGCAGACCCAGCTGGCGTGGAGGGGACTGGAGGCCCTGCAGAGAAGATTCAGGAGGCAGAGGGCTTAGAGAAAAGGGGTCTGGACGTTGTCAGGGCTGAGCCCTGACATGGGCAAGGCTCCAGGGAGGTAGCCCTGTGGGGTGGGGCTCCGGAAGCGGGTCAGGGAGCTGGGGAGAACCTGGGATGGGCAGAAGCAGCTGAATTTCTGTTTGGTTTTGGTTGGGGTCTTTTTGGGTCCTGCCAGGAGGAAGCCTGGGACTGCAAGGGAAGAGTGCAGCGGAGCCCAGGAGGTGGAGGATGTGGTGTTGATGCCCAGCATTGTGTTGGTCATTGTTTCTCTGCAACGCTGATCCCCAGAAGGGGTGAGGCTGCATGTGAGCTGGCCACAGGGCCAAGTCAGCAGCAGAACCGGACCCTGTAGTAGAGGCTGAGTGGCTGTCGGAAGGAGGTGGCTGAGGGGGACAGTGCGGCATGTGAACTGGTGAGTCACAGCAAGAACACCATGTTTTGGGAAAAACAGAATGTCTGTGTTGTAGGGCAGCCCTAGAGCATTTTAAAAGGCGTTCGTCTGTCTGAGCGTTTTATCTTGCCACCCATCGTGGGAGTATCTGGGCCCTTTCTGCATGAAGATTCGTCTCACACAAGGAATCCCCTTCTTTAAAGACTGATTGATGGGTTAAGCGCATCTTAAAGGGCACAGAACCAGCTGAAATGCCTTGAAATTGGGTGTCTATACTGCTTCCGCTATGACAGCCTGGCACGGCATCGCAGCCCCACACTTGCTGGTTCTGTGGCATGGTGAGCTCTTTTCACTGAGGTTCGGCTGAGCGCTCCAAAGAGCCA